CACGCTTCTCCTTCTCCAGGCTTGAGCGTTCCTCTTTCTCCAGTTTAGAACTCTTCTCCTTCTCCAGGCTTGAGCGTTTCTCTTTCTCCGGTTTTAAGCTCTTCTCCTTCTCCACTTTTCCGTGCTCAATCTTTTCCCCGATCTTCACCACTTTTTCGCGCGAAACCTTTCGCGACTTCGAACCAGAAGGAACAGTTTGCGACTCCTTCTGCGAACTGGTGAGAGACTGCGACGAATGGTTTCTAGGGTTTTCTGCTCGACGTGCGATGTTACCACTCTCTCCATTATCGGAATTTCGTGGGGGTCGTTGGTGTGAAGAATGATGCGACGTATGTGAAGTGTGCGACTTGTTCTTCGCTCTGTTCTGGTCTTTTCTAACCAGGGTCGCGATTCGCTCCTGTATGTCCGTTAGGATCGCCATATTCTTATGCATAGTTTTCTCCAGCTTGCTTGATCGTAAATCCATTTGCGCAGAGTAAAGGTTATCCACAAAGATCGACGATGTCTCTAATACCAATGATAGTGGTATCAGAGCACGATCATGATACCTGTTTATGGTCGCTACCAGACGGAAAATGGAAGGCAGATTGGAGGTTTTGGAGCGCGAGCTGGCGAGGCAGTCGGAGAACGTAGAGCGCGAACTGGAGAGACATCGCGAGGAGGCTAGAATCCGGAGCGAGGAGGTTAATCGCAATATCGAGGAGTTCCGCGAGATGGTGATGAAGAAGCTCGATCGCAACTCTCGCGGTCGATCTAAAACTTCCGAAACAAGTACGCGGAATAGTAGCAGCGACTCCAGTTCATCGGCAGGTAAACATCGATCAATATCTTCTAAGCGTGATGGTAACTACAGTAGATGGATTGAGAAATCTGGAAGGAAAGTGGATTTGCCACTTTTTAACGGAACCGATGCTTATGAATGGACCATTAAGGTGGAACGATTTTTTAAACTAAACCGTATTGATGAAGAGGATAAAATTGAGCTAGTTACTTTAGCCATGGAAGGAAGGGCGTTAAATTGGTACCAATGGTGGGAGGAACACGCTAATGTAAGAAACTGGGAACTGTTTAAGGAAGCTTTGCTACAGAGATTTGAACATGGATTGGAACAGGATCCTTATGGCCCATTGCTGAGTGTGAAGCAAACTGGAAGTGTTATGGAGTATAGGGATGAGTTTGAACTAGTGGCAGCTCCTTTGAAGAATACTGATGTAAAATTTCTCAAAGGAATTTTTATGAAAGGGCTGAAAGCTGAAGTTAGAGCTGAATTGAAGCTGAATCCGGTCAGAACCTTGGCAGAAGTAATGAATAAGGCTTTGAGGGTAGAAGAAAGAAACAACACGCTGAATACAATCAGGAATAAGGATGATGATAGAAGGGGGCCAAAGGGGAATGTTTTCTCCCAGTCTCACAGATGGTTGCAGGAGAACAAATGGAAGAGTAACCTGACTCACCAACCTGGTATTGACAAATCCAATAATGAGAAGAGCAATGAGGCAGTCAATAAGAGTACAGGAATGAAGGGAACACATAGGCTAACTCAGTCGGAGCTGCAGGAATTGAGCAGAAAGGGGCTCTGTTTCAAGTGTGGGGAACAATGGGGGAAGGGCCACATTTGCAAGATGAAACACTTTCAGATTGTGATGTTAGATGATTCTGAGGAGGAGGAAGAACAAGGAGGTTACAGTCTGGAAGCTTCACCTGAGATAGAAACAAGTGAACCCTCAAAAATGCAGCTGTCACTGATGAGTAAAGAAGGTCTTCTGACCACTCCAAGGACTTTTAAATTGAAAGGGGAAATACAGGGATGCAGGGGAAGCAAAGATTTAGTGATATTGATAGATTGTGGGGCCACTCACAATCCTGAGTTCAGGGTGGAAATTGGAAATGGGGATCAGATTATAAATAATGGAAGATGTGAGGCTGGTTTTGGCTATTTTGGGCTGGGACTTGGGGAGGGGCATCTCTTTAAACTGCCAGAACAATCTCTCTCTCTTGTTTGTTAATAACGACCTCCCTATTACTGTTCATCTCTCGTTTTTCTCCATTATTGTGGCTCGGATTACTCTGTTACAGGTTGGAACCCTATCAGTTTTAGTAATACTTGTATTTAGCTTCTGTAAGAAAATATTTAACTTGTTTACTCGTTAAATTTGTGTTGCATTAAAAGCGATTTAAGGTGTGTTTGTGAATGCTTAAAAAAAGCACTTTCAGCTTTTTTGGAGTGTAAAAGCTAAATGGGGTGTTTGCAAATGAAAAATTCAGCTTAATTTAATCAGTTTTAAGCCAAAAGCAGGTCTGGGCATGCTTTTTTCTGCTTCTTCGTATTTCCGTAAATAAGTTCAACTTTTGGGATGTTTTTATTTCTAAATATAATAATTACTCCAAAAGTACCCTTATCCCAAGTACACTCGTGCAGAGCATCTTCCATCATCCCTACACGACAACCACCTTCCCTCCAAAAATTGCAGCCGGACGATGTGCTTCGCTACACCAGACCGCCGCCGCCACTCCCGCAGCAGATTTGCTTCGCCACCGCCGGCAGTCAGGGAGGAATCTGCACAACTGTTTCTGCTCTCTTCGGATTTTAATCATCATATTCTATTTTTTTTTTGCCCAATTCTACCAACCCTTTTTCTGCCTCTTCCGATTTTCCCATCCATAGCTCACTCGCTTTCTCTCCAGGGCAGAGCAATGCTGCCGTACGCCTGGAACATCCTTTTGTTGGCAACTGATGGAGCATCTTATTGTAGAGGCATGATTATCTAATTGGAGGTTATTTTTGTAATTCAATAAAATATTACCTTAGGAATAACTTTTTTTACCAAACACTCCAACTTTTACATTTTAAATAAAATCACTTCTATTCCCAAACACTACCAACTTTTACTACAAATCACTTTTCCAATAATCTCTTAAAAAATCACTTTTAAAAAGCACAAGCAATCGCAAACACTCCCTTAGTAATATGTATAATTTTCTTTCCATCATTTGCAATGAAGTCAAAGATTCATTATATTTTGGCTTGAGAATATGATGGAATAAAGCAAAATGGCTCACTAAACTGCTTCATTATTATGAAGCAGCAGTCAGTCCATGCAATTTTGGACGCGATTTTCACTATGGGTCATCCGGAAACAGTCACTCTGTGCTTAAGTACAAGGGTAAGACTGCGTACATCCGACCCCCCCTTACCTCACCGTAGGTGGGAGCCTTTGCGGCACTGGGGTAAATGAAAATGATGAATGAGTAATATGTTTAATTTTAAAAACCAATTTAAACTTTTTGAGGTTCACGCCATGCAGTAGGGTTGTATAATTTGTAATTTGTTTTAATTTGTGCCTTGTTTACTCCATTATTTGTTTAATTCCTTGTTATAGTTCTTCTATTTTCTTGTTTCAACCTTTTAGATTTTTAATAATTAATATTTAACTTGTTTACTCCTTTAAATTGTTTTAGTAGTTAAAATAATTTCAGAAAATAGAAGTGTCTAATATGTGAATTGTTAGGATATGTTTTATTTGTTTTAGATTTTAATGTGTATATGATTCATCTTCTAATAATTTATGATTCTAATCTTTTGAAATTTGTTAGATTACCTCTACCTATATCACAATTTGTAATACGAGTGATGGGTATTCCAAACGAACTAACTAAAAAAGTTATCGGGATAAACATTTTCATGTGGAATTCAATTCAAATGATATTGTTGTTGATCTAGAGTTGCGTAATTCTATTATTGCCTTTTATCCTTTCATTAGAAATCAAGTACAAGAGAGTACATAATTAGAGATCTCTATAGACTGCTTTGTCATTTTTACCCTAAAAGTCATACTATGTAGAATAAATATAATACTCCCTCTGCCCCTTAAAACTTTGTCAACTTTCCTTTTTAGCTGCCCCGCTAACTTTGTCATTTTCACTTTTAAGTAAAGAATTTGTGGTTCCACTTAATTCTCTCTTCTGCACAAACCTCAACCACACGGTTTTTACATTATTAATTCTTGTGCCGGTCAAACTTGGCGAAGTTTTTTTAAATCCTCTTTATTTTGACATACTTTTCAGCCCCTCCTAAAAAACGGTCCTGGTTCCGCCTCTGGGTCCAAGACCCACAACAATAAAAATGAAATACGCCCTCTTTTATTGCTGCTACTGCGGTTTTGCTTGATAGTTTGACTTTTATGCTGTCAATTGCGAAGCTTATTCTTCAGTGACCAGGGGCTAAATGGGATTTTAATATATTATTCAAAACTGCTGACTTCAAACGCTGCTCTAACCAGCGTGTCAACATATGGCGTTTTGAAACAAAAACGTTAATCCACTCTGCTGTTTACCAAACGACCATGTTCAGCACTTCAGCAATTGGATAAAAGTCAAAACTATAACAGTATTTGAAACGCCAAAATTGGCTGATCTGCTATTATCCAAACAGAGCCAATGTTTAAAATAGGCGCTCTTGAAAAATCAGTTAGTGCAACTCCAACCATCACCACTAAATGACTCTTTAAAATGCTATAGTAAATAATACTTTAGGTATTTACTATGGTGGCTCAACATAAACCGATAGAACACTCTATGGTTCAGCGAGGTGTAGAACATTAGGCAAGCAATCTAGAAAAAACTGTGTTGTTATCATCTGTAAATATTAGTTTTTATTGATGAATAAATCGTAAGAATTTGTCAATGTAGCTATTGTTTTATGATGAAATTTCATTAAAATGGCATTACATGGACTTCCATCTTGTCTGTCTTTTATGAAAGGGGTTTATTGCTTTATCTTTTTGTTTTATTGTTTCGTTTTATTCAACCCCCTCCCAGGTTATGGAATTTGGATGTAAACTTACTCTATGTTCTGTTATGCATATATATGATTTTGCGGCTGCACACATACATTTCATCAGGGTGCAAGTCAATACACTCAGCTCTTTCATTTAATCTTTTTTTGAGGATATCATGCTTCAATCTTCATTATTTTCTAATGTTAGCTATGTGTTTGACAGCCTATTTTCCACGACGGAATGAAAGAGTGGAATTGTTGCAAGAAAAGAAGTCATGATTTCAGCTTGTTTCTAGAAATTCCTGGGTACGGATTTTGCAATATTCTTCATGTGTTGTTTTCCCTTATGCTGAGAAAGCCACCTTGTCTAATTCCTTTCACCCGTGAGAAATTCTGCCAGCACAACTTTGCAAGTTTGACCTGAATTCCTGATGGCTGTTACCTAAGTTAGAATGAAAATCGCTGTATGACTGTTTCCCTCTGTCTACTTATAATTATTTTCAACTTTTCATCTAAACTCTTTTAGGTTGTTCTTTGACTTAACATTTGGTGACATTTAGACGTGACTCTCTGTCGTCTTTCAAAAGTTCAACAAAGAATAACCTCTAACACTGGTGGACCCTAGCACATTGCTCATCACAGTTGTAACCAGGGCCATATTCACCCCCCTTACATGTCAGAACATTAAAGGATGTAGGAATTACTGCCGCAGAACTGCCAAGTTAATTTTATATTTTTATTTAATGGACTAACATTTTTATTTTTACCCTACCAGTCTTAAAGTTGTTATGTTTGGAGAACTATTTCCACAAGAAGAATGTTATCATAACAATTTTTAGAAAAATACTATTTGTACCCACCAATGTGAGAGGCTATTTTTTTGACAAAACGTGTCTTGTTGTTTGTGCACAGACAAAACAAGACATGTTTTGTCACCGTTCACAGACAAAAATAGGGTGGGCATAATGGTGCGTACAAATAGCAGGGCTATAATTTTTAACCAGTGTTGCTAATTTATCTTTCAGTTTCCCAATTAAAAAGTCCAGAACAAGTGAAGGATGATATATTTAGTTAAACACAAGACCACTATTTTCTTATGAGTTATTCTCACCCATTAACATTAAAAGTTAGAGTTAATTACCTATATAGGAGTAAAAGGTTTCCAAATTTCCAAAATAGGAGTCTTTACGTGCACTGCCTCCTTCCTTGCCGGCGCCGCCTGGTGCCACCCTCACCGGCGTTGCCTGATGTCGCCTTCGCTGCCGCCGCCCTCGCCGGACTGGCCTGCCATCGCATCATCCGCCGGTGCCACACTGTCACCATCCTTGGCAAACCATAAGAGAATATGGGCCATTGATATGCTAAGTGCCTCAATGATGTTCTTATTAATTATTTAGTCTTGGGCGATCTTTTGGTTTAGTGCTCTACTTATCATCTCAGAACATTATTTGCCCAAGACACAATTTGGTTTTCAACCGCCGATGCCACACTGATTCAAACCTTCATAGGGAAAATAATGGTCTATTCAATTTGTTATCCTGTAGCTTAGAGTACACTCACACAAATTGGCATATTCTCCAAAGTTAATCATTTCAAGGCCATTTTTTACTCGTCCTGTGCATAACTCTATTGCAGAACACATATATTCAACTACATATATGTATAGCTAAAGGAAGAAAATGTCCTTCCATTACCTCTTGCAAAATATTATACAATATACCTCATATATCCTTAAATAAACTTTGCCTTGGCATTTGCATGTGTATCATGAGAGCAGAGATGATTTTTTTTATTTTTTATTTTTTTTTTATTTTTTATTTTTATTTTTTATTTTTTATTTTTTTTTAGAACCCGGTTTAGTCCAAAACCCGAGAGTTTTGGGGTGAGGGCCAGGTAACACCCCACCTATTTATTAACCAAAGAAATATACATGGAACAGAGATGATATAGTCAATACTTAGGATGAAAAAGTACTTGCCACACATTCCTTTGAAAATTGTGAAGAGGAGAGAGAAATAACTTTAGCCACATATTTGTTACATTAAATGGAAATGACAATTTTTTGGCTTAAGAATCTGATGGAATAAAGCAAAATGGCTCACTAAACTATCTGCACTTCTTTGTTATGTAACAACATTCACTCCATGCAATTTTGGACGCGATTTTCACTATGGGTCATCCGGAAACAGTCTCTCTGTGCTTTAGTACAGGGGTAAGACTGTGTACATCCGACCCCCCTTACCCTACCATAGGTTGGAGCCTTTGCGGCACTGGGGTAAAAAGGGAAATTTGGCAAAGTTTTGTGGGATGGAGGGAATTATATTTTTGTTTCTTTTCTTATGAAGGTGTAAGACAGGAAAACACACAGCTGAAAAAACAGTTTTAACAAAGCCAGCTGCTGCTCCAAGCAGACCATTTCCTGCTTCAACTCAAATAGCAGATGTATCCCTCAATGAAAATTGTCCTAGGTGTCGCCAGGGTTTCTTCTGTTCAGATCATGGTACAATTTTATGTCTTCAGTTCTGTAGAGTGAATACTTAGGATTGTGCATTGTTCCTAACGTGTCTATGCAGTGGTCTTGAAGAGGTTCCATTTTATAATTGATTGAAAACCATTCTTTTATCATCAATTGGTTCACCGAATTCTGATGTCTTCCTTGTTATGGATGTTCTTGTAGGTTCTCAACCCGGACAGGTAAATCCAAAATCATCAAATACAGTATCCACCACCTATAGTGGAAGTGATCATGATTTACAGGAGTGTCATCCCACACCAAAGAAGATAATTGATATAAACGAGCCTCAAATTTGTAAGAATAAGGGATGCGGTAAGACCTTCAGAGAGAAAGAAAATCATGACAATGCTTGCAGTTACCACCCCGGGCCAGCTGTATTCCATGATCGAATGAGAGGGGTGAGTCAGTTAGTGTTCTTTTCTTGTCCATCTTGTTCTCTGTGTCCTTAAATGCTTTTTATGGTTCCTAATACTGTGTTTGTGGCATTGTAGTGGAAATGCTGTGATATTCATGAAAAGGAATTTGATGACTTCATGAACATTCCACCTTGCACGAAGGGATGGCACAGTGCTGATCCAGCGACATGATTGGAATGAATGATTTGAAAATTTTCCATTCTGTCAATTTTGATTCTGTATGGATTTTCTGATCTATTGTAGAGAAGCTGTTGCTCAAATATTCTTGGGGGTAAAAAATTACAATAAGGGTGTTAGGGGTAAAAAATTAAGTTTACTCCTATTTGGGGAATATTAGGAGTTAACTCCTATTTAGGGAAATGTGTTATGTTTTACTCCTATTGGGAGATGATAGAGTATATGATGGGCTCACGCCCCATGGCCCACATACTCGGAAGGTCAAAACACTAGGATAGCGCCCACGTAGCACCTTTCGGCCAGAGAGAAAAGTGTCCAGAAGGTCGCCTGAAGACAGTGGACCCCGCGTCGGCCATGGACCGCGTCGGTCGGGTGCACGTGTCAGCCAGGGTCTTCCCCTGGCAGAATGTATTTTCTTATCTTGTTTGCTAAGTATTGTACTCAGCCCATTAAAGGCCTTATTCCGCCCCAAAGAAGACATGATTATTGTAATGGGCCTCCTAAGCCCAAGGCTAGGAGCCCAAATTCACATTTACTCCTATAAATACTCCCCTTGGGGGTAGTTATAAGGGTTGAGAAATATTAATTGCTCATTCTCTCTAATTTTCACTTCATTCTAGAATTAAATATTCTATCATTTGGTGCTCTAGTTGAGAGCTATAAAAAAATCAAGTGAGTACCCTTCATCGTAACTAACAAAAATGCGAAGAGCTAGGTTAAAGAACCCCACCGACAAAACCATCTCGAGACTCAGGAGAATGAAGAGAGGTCGGGCGATGATGCCATCAACAACTTCGTGGCTGAGGAGAACATCTAAGAGGTTGAGAACCCAGCTGATGACCTCCGCAACCATCTCAACAAGACTGCCCAAGACGCCCGCATCAGGTCAACAGGCTTCTCCCCCTGTTGCCCCCCAGATCAATCAGGCGGCACTGTCGGCCATTGTTGCCAGCATACTCCAGGACCCCAACGTCCTGAGTGCCATCGCCACAAAGACTGGAGAAAACAACACTCCCAAGACGAGGGATGTAACACTTGAGATTTAATATAAATGGATTAATAGTACTACTCATACCAACAGAGGTGCATCTCCTTTTAAGGGAGCTCATCACCCAAGAACTCCCAAGTTAAGCGTGCTTGCACGGGAGTAGTCTTGGGATGGGTGACCCCCTGGGAAGTTTCTCAGGGCGCGCATGAGTGAGGACAAAGTGTGCGGTAAAGGCTCGTGGTGGTTTGTGAGGACAGTACTAGTGGTCTGGAGTAACTACCTCAGGTCCTGCGGGGCGGGGGTGTTACAGGTGGTATCAGAGCAACCCTGCGACAGTGTGTTGACCCGTTGGATATCGGGCGGGCACTTAGCGGGGGAAGATTATAGGATTTGATTGAGATTTGAGATTGATTTAAGGGCGCAACGAGGACGTTGCGATCCTAAGTGGGGGTGATTGTAACACTTGAGATTTAATATAAATGGATTAATAGTACTACTCATACCAACAGAGGTGCATCTCCTTTTAAGGGAGCTCATCACCCAAGAACTCCCAAGTTAAGCGTGCTTGCACGGGAGTAGTCTTGGGATGGGTGACCCCCTGGGAAGTTTCTCAGGGCGCGCATGAGTGAGGACAAAGTGTGCGGTAAAGGCTCGTGGTGGTTTGTGAGGACAGTACTAGTGGTCTGGAGTAACTACCTCAGGTCCTGCGGGGCGGGGGTGTTACAAGGGAGGTCGCGATGGTTCCACCACCTCCCCTTGTTGTCACCTTCTTCGGCAACGACGAAGGTGTCGTCGCCATGAACACCCACTCCCATACCCCCTCTCCTCCCTGCGTTGTACCGACCCAATCTCGTGGCAAGACCTTGGCCTTCAATAAGCTGGGTGACACGAGCCGTCAGGCACCGTAGGGTAGGATAGCGAATCGGTTGGGTGGCCGTGAGCCAGACTCGCCTCGTGAAAGCTTGGGGTCCGTCTCCCGGACAACGGAATGACCCTGCATGGACAAAGGGAAGGGAAAGCTGAATGAGGATGACGCCCGTTACCAGTTCAATCAGGCCCATGCGGCCCGGGCTCAGCCCCCGCTGGCGGTCACTGCAGCTACAAGGGACCCCAAGGACGAAATAATCGCTCGCTTGGAGAAACGCCTGGCCGACATGGAAGCCAGGGAAGTCGCGGGGAACGCAGCGGCCCACGCACCCCCAAACTATGACGCGATTCTGAATAAGGTCAGTGCTCCTAGGAGTTGCAAAAAATTGACACAAGAATTTGAAGAGTGTGTTTGAGTGGTGAGGATCAAGCAAATGATGATACTCTTTTGACAAGGGGTTTTAGGGGGCCTTTGGACAGATTTATGGTGAGTGTGAGTGGTTTTGTTGATGTTAATATGAGTCTAGCAAATGTCATAGTGTCGCAAACAAGTTTGTTTGGACATGGGCAAGTTCTACTTTGAAACAACAATCCCCTTTTATGTGGTAATAGCTCCTTTTATTAATATGTTGCTTTATGTTGGAGCATAATGGTTGGGGACTTGAACCTCCAAGCATGTATGAACTTAGTACTTGAGTATTGAAGGAAGTGCATAAATACAATCGAGAAAGTAGTTAAATGAAATAAAAAACATGAGCACACAATGGACTGATGGTATCACTGTGACACTCCCAAGGAGGAGGTCACAGGTTCGAATCTCATCCCAGTTCAAGAATGTTGGCCTTAACATTGAGCAGATACTATAATAGGTTAGAAAGAATTGTCCAAAAAAAAGTAAAATCATGTTTGATGGCTGGGAAGATATTTGACATAGAAGTCTTATCAATTTTTGTGTCAATAATCTCAGTGGCATTGTCTTCTTGAAAAGTGTTGATGCTTCTGCACACGTCAAAGATGCATAGCTATTGTGTAAGTTGCTCGATGATATTGTTGAGGAAGTTGGGAAGAACTCGCAACCCAAATTCTGACTGATAATGCATGCAACTACAAGGCAACTAGAAAATCACTAATGATGAAAAGACCACATATATATTGGACTTCATGTGGTTCCCATTGCATTGACTTGATGCTAGAAAAATATCAGACCTTACACCTTATGCTCGAGTTTTGATCAAAGCAAATAAAGTGACCACTTTCATTTATAATTACCCATGGCTTTTGAGCTTGATGAGGAAATTCGTTAATGAAAATCTTGTAGATCGGGTTCTACCAAATTCGCCATTGCATTTATTACTTTGCTGACATTTATCAAGGAACAACCATTGCAATCTATGATTACTCTCGACAATGGATGGACTATAGTTGGACAAAAAAGCATGAAGGCAAAGAAATAAGGAAAATAGTTCTCAAGGATAACCATTTTGGACAAGTGTAGCCTTACTGGCCTATGCTATCAAATCCACAAAATCATTGGTTGAAGTGTTGAGATTAGTTGATTTAGAAAAACAAACCCTAATAGTGTACCCTTATAATGTTATGGATTAGGAAAAGGAAAAGATAGAAAGGAATTTTGTTGGATACATTAAAGATAACAACAAGATACAGGACATTATTGATGAGAAAAAAGATTTTCAAATGCATCGCCACTATCATGCAACTGTCTACTATTTGAACCCTCATTGCCATTACGCAAATAGCTTTACGCCTCACCAGGAAGTTAATCTTGGGTTGTTTCATGGCTTGGTCAGGCTCATACCTAAGAGAGAGGATTAGAAGAAAGGCGACCTTTAATGTAGCACTTGGTCCAAAGAATACATTCTCTGTGAGAACCCTTGGTCCATTTTATAGCATTTCTATTTCGGTACATTTAAAACTTCAAAAATCTGATTATTTTTTTCTTTTCACAATTGTATATTTTAGCCTCTTGGGATATATGGAGATGACACTTATGCTTTCCACCCACATTATAGTTAATGATTGGGATTTATAGTTTGAGAAATACTCCATAATGGTGGACTCAATATATACATGGCATTCCCAAACTTCAAAATTTTGCAATAAAAGTGTTAGGCCTTACTTGTTCATTATCCGGATGTGAGCAAGATTGGAGTACTTTCAATAAGTACATACCAAAAGAAGAAATCGCTTCATAACGATTAGGATGAACTCATTGGTCTATATAATAATCAACAAAAGATTGAAAGATTGATACCTTAAATTAAGATCCCTAGCCAATGATGAAGAATCTTTTAATTCATGATTAATGATTTGTCGTCTGATGATGAATTGTGTGTCAATGAAAATGATGTTAAACTAAACACATTTGAGGATTACCTTGATGTTGATATTTAAGGGGAATCATCAAAAGAAATAGAAAGTTCAAGCAAGCGGATGGATAACCAAGGAAAAAAATAGAAAAATAAATAAGTAGTGGAGCCAAATGATGTTGATGATGAAGACCAAGAAGAATGGGAGGATTTAGATAGTGATGGTGAAAGGGGCAATGGTTATAAGACTATGATATGACGATTAGTCCAAAGATCCAGTCATCATGATTAAGCTTCTAGACCTTTAAATTATGTCATTGTGTGATGTGTATGTTTGTGTGTTCAAATTTACATTTTGAGTTATCATGTTTGACGGCCTGGTCACATGTGTTTGTGTTTGAGACTCTTTGTACTTATAATTATGCACACTTTTATTTGGTTTAACTATTTTGAGTTTTAATGTAGGTATATTTTGAGGCTTATGCCTCAAAATACCTCAAGTCTTACGCCTTGCCTCTTCTGAACAAACCACGTCAATACCCAAGCTAGCATTTTTAAACCTTGAGTCCTTGACTAAGTTTATAGAGCTAGCCTTTTTTTACCTTAACTAAGTTATTATTTTAAACTAGAATGCAACTCTCCAATGGTAAATGTAAAGTTCAATTTCGAAATGAAACTTAACCTCTGCCATTGTGGATTCTCCAAGGCTGCTGTTATTGGAGACTATGTAAAGAATTTGTACCCCTAGAAATTGCGCATCTTCACCTAACAGTCTTAAATCTTAATACTGTTAAATTGTTAATAGTCGTGATCTCACAATAAAATAGAAATATACTAGTCTTGTAAGAAACTCTTTTGGATTGATAATAATCGGAGGCAAGCGGATGGAAAGTAACATAAAAGATCATCAGGTTGGATGTTACAAGTGGTTACAAAATAATGGTCTCAATCTCATCCTTGACCATTCACTGCTCCTAAAACAATCAGTTTGTCATTCCCAACTAGAACCTTTTGGTTTTACTTTCACCTTTGGCAGCCATCATCACAGAGAGTTTGTTGATCTCATATAGCAGCCCAGCAGAGAATAAAAGGCTGCATTAAAAATAAAATAAAAGTATGGTTTTCAAAATATTTTTACACCCATCTCAATTCCCACAGTGCAGCTAGTCATATATAATTCACATTTCACACACTATTTGCATGTGTACAATCCTACAAGCCTTGTTTTTTCGACACATTATTATCCTCGAAGGAATTCAAAAAAATGATGGTTCCTTATTTCGCTAGTACACATGCTCTCAGTTTTCTTCCTATTCCAGTTACCATTTTAAGCTCAGTGACATATTCTGCTAGGACATATGGTAAACTTCTGTAATCATGGTGGTCACAGGTCATGACAAATTGATAATGGAAGAACTTCAAACAATGAGTGAAAGATTAACATTTACCATGTTGTGATACACACTCGATGAACAGTGCTAGCAGCAACTAAAGCGACTGCTTCTGCAAGTATAACTACAGAGACAAGAGAGCAAAGCATTATGATACTTTCAAATGTAGTCATCACAATTATGCAAAAATGAGTTTAAAAGAATGAACCAAACCTGTGCCCCATCCACTCTTGGTTCCATTTGCCTCTTGATAATTTCCAATGAACTGTGAACAAAATAACTAATTCAAGCTAAGCAAGCATTGACTAACTAAGCTAGAAACTGTAATGATCAAATTCAGCCAGACTAGATATGTCATATATGCATAAATACAATGTCAAACATCAAATAAAGATAGAAACATAAGTCAAATAGGCTCTACTATTATCACCAATCTGGAACCCCCCCCCCCCCCTCCATACAAAACATAGCATCCAGTTAAAGACTCAAACTTCAAAAACAAAAGCACTCTGTTGAAGTACTAAACATTTTTTCTAGATTTACATGTCCCGGGTTATCAGTAACCAATGTTAAGGCATATCCAGGGGCGGGTTGAGCACTATAAAGGCCCCAGGCAAAAACTCACTTTATATTAACAAATTTTATCAATTTATTTTCTATAATATAAAATAATAAAAATGAGAAACAAAAATTTTAACTCATTCAAATCACTAACAACAATTAAGTGGTCACTAAGATTATTGACATTCTTGTTTAAATCATTATCCTCACTATCATAATGAACGTTTGTATTATCATTGTCAACTAATTCTTTTCTTTTAATATATCATAAGTCTTTGATTTGCCCTTCATGAAAATACTAAATACAGAGTTTAATTAACAAAAAAACCACAAACAAATGAGTCAACAAGAAAGCTAAAGTTTAAACAAGCATAGGTCCGCATATACCAATTACCAAGAGAATAAGACTAATAATATAACTAAACTCTGGCAAGGGAAGAAGAGCATAAGGCGGCGGGTGGTTGCGCCGTCCGGCTCGCCGGTTGGTGTTGCCGCATTGATGCACCGGCGTTTCTCTATTCCTCTAAGTATGGTTTGGCAGCTGGCTTAACTTCATTGAGTCATTGCCAATTAGGATTTAGGAATAGGAAGGGATTTGGGCATTTTTATTAATGGTTGTTTCGGTATTGATTGCCAAGTCATTCCATTTCTAACTCTACGTACTAACAGCAGTTCATGAGCTTGATCTCATCAGTGACTTTTCGTAAGTACTGTGGATCTATGGAAAAGGTTTTTTGTTGATTTTCTTTTCTATAGTTTCTTTATGGAAGAAAGAAGAAAGGGCAGTTTGGGAAGGGCTATGGAGGAATCATGTGCAGATGAGAAGGAGCAACTGCCCTTTCAATAAACTCCCCTCCCCCTCCCTGCCTCAGTCCGAACCAAAAGAACGTAATTATAATTATTCATAACACTAATGTTTTTAATTTTTGAGGCCCCTAGAAATGAGAGGCCCTAGGCAAATGCCTACCTTAACTGGGCCTATAGCCGGCTCTGGGCATATCCAACTTAGAAATTTTATATTGATATGTGATAAGAACAGAAAAAATAAAATCAACGGTATGAACCGTTGCCCGATAATCAACGATAAATAAATACCGTTGCCCAAAGCCAAAAGGCTAAACCAACTTTTATTCCCCGATCCTCAAGAATGAAGCATACAAGGGGTATAAATAACCCTCTAGGTCTAATAAGAATAGGAATCCTAAATAAATTAATCTAGGAAACTAAATAGAATAAGAAACCTCTAGTTCTAATAGAACTCCTAATTAAATCATTCTAGGAAACTAAATAGAAATAGGAAACCTCTAATTCTAATAAGAATAGAAGTCCTAAATAAATCCTACTAGGAAACAAATTAAATTAGGAAACAAAATAAAAGGAATAATAAATATTAATTAAACAGCCCGCAAATAGCCCACGAAGGTGGGCTCAAGCCCGTCCAGCCTTCGGTAAACCCACGGGGGCTTCTGCCCCTCTTCTTCCAAGCCCAGATTCTGCTTCATATCAATATGGCAAGACTTTTGTTACGTGACATGTAACCTACTGTGGTCTGTGGCTTCTCCAGTCTTCAGTCAAGTAATTCCCAGAGCTTCTACAAGTCCATGGCAGATGTTTGATTGATAGATTAATTGATGATTTTATCTTACTAAGGAATTTTTGAACCCTAACATCTTTGGCTCATCATCTTCTACAGAAGTTTGATTGGAATTTGGAAGAGAACCAAATTGCTGAGTAAGTGGACACAAAAAAAAAAATCTTCATACCAATTTAAAAAGGGGAGGGAATGGCCATGGCAGAAGTCTGATTGATTGATAGATAACTTGATGATTTTATCTTAATAGAGATTTTCTGAACCCTAACATTTTTGTCACATCATCTTCTGCAGAAGTTTGATTGGATCTTCGAAGAGAACCAAATCACAGAGAAGCCTGATACAAAAAAACTTCATACCAATTTTAAAAGGGAAGGGGATGGGTGATATGAAGAGAAGCAGCAAATATATAAGAAAAAAACACGTGTTTTCTAGGTTTAATGAAAACCCCATTTCGTTCTTTTTTCTTTACAGTTAGTTTTTTCTCATAAAATCACGAAATCCTCAAGACCAAGTTTTTCATTTGTTACTGTCAAGGTACAGAAGGGATCGAAGTTGATAAAGAGTTTATTTTGTTTTGGGTGCTCTGAGGTTTTCTAGGGGATTTTGTGAAGCAAATATTAGCAAACTCATGGTGTTGTCAAGCTTGTGTTCTTCACCAATCTAACAGCAGCAATCCAGATAATGAAATCATAAATTTATTTGGAATGCGTTCTGGCTCCTCTGTGACTCTACCTTCACTGACAAATGAACCAAATGAGCTCTGTGTCCACCTTTCAACCAGCACCATACTCTTAAAAAATGGGTATGGAGAATTCTAGAAGAAACTTTGGTACTATTTGAATTTACTGATTTGAATTTGCTTGAGAGAAACTACTCTCAGCTAATCTTTATTTATAAGGTTCAGAATTACAACTTACAAGGAAAGAATCAAATGTACATCTATCAATTACTAACTGCTGATTTGATACAATCTGTACAATAAATGCTAAAATCAGGAAGGATATTATTTAGAATCATATCAAATCTCAACACTCCCCCTCAAGCTGGTGCATAGATATCATATGCATCAAGTTTGTCACAAATATATCTTATCCTCGGACCGCGGAGTGACTTGGTGAGAAAGTCAGCTAACTGATCATTTGAATTGACAAAGGATGTGAAGATTTCTCCAGAAATGACGTTTTCACGGATAAAATGGCAATCGATTTCTATATGCTTTGTTCGTTCGTGAAAGACAGGGTTAGAAGCGATGTATAAAGCTGCCTGGTTATCACAGATCAGTTTCATAGGCTTCAGTTTGCAAAACTTTAACTCAGATAATAATTGTTTCAACCATATAAGTTTGCAAGTGGTGAGAGCCATGGCTCGATACTCTGCTTCAACACTTGATCTAGCAACGACACTCTGTTTCTTGCTCTTCCAGGATATTAGGTTTCCACCAATGAGAACACAGTACCCTGAAGTTGATCTCCTATCGTTTGGACAGCCGGCCCAATCCGCATCTGAATACGCAGTAATATTGTCATAACCCCGGTTTGCATACACAAGTCCTCTTCCAGGTGAACCTTTGATGTATCTTAGGATTCGAACGACTGCATCCCAATGACTATCACATGGCGTGTTGAGGAACTGACTAACCACGCTCACAGCAAAGGAGATTGTCTGGTCTGGTCATAGTGAGATAATTTAACTTTCCCACAAGCCGTCGATATCTTTCAGGATTGGAGATGGGCTCTCCCTGATCTGTCAAAAGTCGAACATTTGGATCAATTGGAGTATCAATCGGCTTACAATCTGTCATCCCGGTTTCCTTCAGAATATCAAGAGCATATTTTCTTTGGGATATGGCAATACCAGTTTTGGATTGAGCTACCTCGATTCCAAGAAAGTAACGAAGTTGTCCCAAGTCTTTGATTTGAAATTGCTGGGACAAATACAATTTAAGGTTCTTTATGCCATCATGATCATCCCCTGTTATTACAATATCATCAACATAAACAACAAGGTAAGTAGATTGATTAGATAAAGATTTTTTATAGAACACGATGTGTTCTGCTTTGCATTGAATCATCCCAAACTGTTTGAGAGCCGTACTGAATCTGCCAAACCACGCTCGTGGGGATTGTTTAAGACCATACAAGGCCTTATGCAACCGACACACATATCTACACTCCCCCTGAGCAATAAACCCTGGTGGTTGCTCCATGTAAACTTCTTCTTGTAAATTACTGTGAAGGAAGGCATTTTTTATGTCCAGCTGATGTAATGGCCAGCTACGCATAGCTGCCAAATAAGAACAAACGTACAGAAGCCATTTTTGCAACCGGAGAAAAAGTGTCACCATAATCCAAGCCAAAAACTTGAGTAAACCCTTTAGAAACCAAACGTGCTTTCAGCCGATCAACTTGTCCATCAGGACCAACTTTGATTGTAAACACCCCGCGACAACCAACAGTAGATTTCCCATGGGGCAAGGGAACAAGAGACCAAGTACGGTTAATTTCAAGGGCAGCCATCTCATCAAGCATAGCTTGGCGCCATCCTGAATGGGCAAGAGCTTCCTGGACAGTTTTAGGGATGGAAACAGAAGAGATGGAGGACACAAAAGCATAATGGGAAGGAGATAGACGATGATAACTTAAACAATTGTAAATAGGATGCGGGTTTCGAGTGGAACGAATACCTTTTCCAGTTGCAATTGGAAGATCAGGTTGAGTCGGTGTCTCATGTTGGTCCGGAGTGGGTAAAGGAGCTGAAGCTGGAGATGAATCTACAGGGTCATTAGTAGGGACATCCTCATTAGGTGCAGACCGCAGTCAACGATGATAAGTAATGAGAGGCTTGGAAGAAGACAATGGAGGACTGAGAGGTGACAATGGGGTAAGATGAGGAATAGGTAAGACTTGAGAGACAGATTCAACTTCCGCTGGTGAAGTGAAATATGGTTGATCCTCAAAGAAAGTGACATCTGCAGAAGTATAGACGGTGAGTAGAAGGTGAATAGCAACGGTAACCCTTTTGGACTCTAGAGTAGCCAAGGAATATGCATTTGATTGCTCGTGGAGATAATTTATCAAGACCAGGGGAAAGATCCTGCACGAAACAAGTAC